TCGGTCCCGTTATATCAGCATGTTAACCAACACACAAGCTGTAGCTCTGCCACGGTACTGAACACTCTCGGTGTTAATCAACACACAAGCTGTAGCTCTGCCACGGTACTGAACACTCTCGGTCCCGTTATATCAGCATGTTAATCAACAAACAAGCTGTAGCTCTGCCATGGTACTGAACACTCTCGGTCCCGTTACATCAGTGTTTACAATTATCATCTGCATCAACCTTTAATGTTAAAATAGGCCATCCTACCATTATCAGTGCTTTTTACCGTAGTCATACGAATATTCATATCAGTGATGGTGACAATAATTCATCAAAGACTCGTCAATGTTTGAGAACCATCAATAGTCAAAGTGTTGACAATGTTTAGAATAATTCTAGTTGTCACAATGTCTAAAACATTTCAGCCACCATTTATGTTATAACTTGGCAGTGATCAGTAGTCTAACTCAATGTTTAGAACATGTTGAACCAGTCTGTGTTTAGAACATGTTGAACCAGTCTGACTTGATCTGTAGAATATGTTGTACCAGTCTGACTTGGTCTGTAGAATATGGTGTACCAGTCTGACTTGGTCTGTAGAATATGGTGTACCAGTCTGACTTGGTCTGTAGAATATGGTGTACCAGTCTGACTTGGTCTGTAGAATATGGTGTACCAGTCTGACTTGATCTTTCGAACATGTTGAACCAGTCTATGTTTAGAACATGTTGAACCAGCCTGTGTTTAGAACAAGTTGAACCAGTCTGTGTTTGGAACATGTTGAACCAGTCTGACTTGATCTTTAGAACATGTTGTACCAGTCTAACTTGATCTGTAGAACATGTTGTACCAGTCTGACTTGATCTGTAGAATATGTTGTACCAGTCTGACTTGATCTGTAGAATATGTTGTACCAGTCTGACACAATGTTAAGAACATAGACCAGTCTGACTTAATGTTTAGAACAAGTTGAACCAGTCTGTGTTTAGAACATGTTGAACCAGTCTATGTTTAGGACATTTTGAACCAGTCTATGTTTAGAACATGTTGAACTAGTCTGTGTTCAGAACAAGTTGAACAAGTCTGTGTTTAGAACATGTTGAACCAGGCTATGTTTAGAACATGTTGAACCAGTCTGTGTTTAGAACATGTTGAACCAGTCTGACTCAATGTTTAGAACATGTTAACCCAGTCTGACTTAATATTTAGAACATGTTGAACCAGTCTATGTTTAGAACATGTTGAACCAGTCTGTGTTTAGAACATGTTGAACCAGTTTGACTCGATCTTTAGAACATGTTGAACAAGTCTGACTTGATGTTTAGAACATGTTGAACCAGTCTGTGTTTAGAACATGTTGAACCAGTCAGTGTTTAGAACATGTTGAACCAGTTTGACTCGATCTTTAGAACATGTTGAACCAGTCTGACTTGATGTTTAGAACATGTTGAACCAGTCTGACTTGATCTGTAGAATATGTTGTATCAGTCTGACACAATGTTTAGAACATGATAACCAGTCTATGTTTAGAACATGTTGAACCAGTCTATGTTTAGAACATGTTGAACCAGTTTGACTCGATCTTTAGAACATGTTGACCCCGTTTGTGTTCAGAAATGTTGAACCAGTCTGGGTTTAGAACAAGTTGAACCGGTCTGTGTTTAGAACTTGTTGAACCAGTCTGACTTAATTTTTAGAATATTTTGAACCAGTCGGTGTTTAGAACAAGTTGAACCAGTCTGTGTTTAGAACATGTTGAACCAGTCTATATTTGGACCATGTTGAACTCATGTTGACCCAGTCTGACCTAATGTTTAGAACATGTTGAACCAGTCTGACTTAATTTTTAGAATATGTTGAACCAGTCTGTGTTTAGAACATGTTGAACCAGTCTGACTTAATGTTTAGAACATTTTGAACCAGTCTGTGTTTAGAACATGTTGAACCAGTCTGACTTAATGTTTAGAACATGTTGAACCAGTCTGGCTTGATCTTTAGAACATGTAGTAACAGCCTGACTTGATCTTTAGAACATGTTGAACCAGTCTGACTTGATCTTTAGAACATGTAGTAACAGTCTGACTTGATCTTTAGAACATGTTGAACCAGTCTGACTTGATCTTTAGAACATGTTGAACCAGTGACTCAGTGTTAAGAATGTGTTGAACAGGTAATTAATAACTTGAACAGATACCCTTATAATGTCTATAACATGTTATACCATAAGTTACTGATATCATGTACTAAAGCTCCACTGTTATCCACATGGAGAATTATATTCCAGACATGTTTATCATACCAATTCACAATCAAATATAGGAACTTGAAAATAGTTGTATGCTAGTCAGCCGAGCACACTTTGATACACAATGCATTTGATAAGCCCAAGGTGATTTCACCATAAACTTATGATTTCGAAAATTTCTTAAAGATCTTGTGACTTAAAAATATGAAGAAAAAAAGTTAAGACAAAATTTTCTGGTACTTCAGTCTTGTTTTATATTGATTTACCTTAAAAATTGTAACTTTAACAACATGTTCTTTTTTACACGGAGTTAGAGACACTTTGTTTTTGACAAGGACTTAGCTGTTTCATGCGCCTGCATGGTGACTAAAGAAATAATTACAAGGGAAGCAACTCTGCTAATCTTATGTAGCCATCTGTAAAGAAACTACCATGATCATGAGTTCGAGATCATTTTAATATACAACCATTCAATATTTGCAAAAAAACACAATTCATAATAGATACAGGTTTTAGTTGTTGCACCAGCCTTTTGTTATTGAAGGAAAAATTGTGTTTCATCGAAAACAAGGTTATTCATTATCAAATTAGTTTCAATGAATCTTGTAGATAAGCTAGGTATTCATTTCTAGCGTAAGCTGTACTGAATCATTTTGTTCATATGCAGAAAAGAAAAACAAATATTTAAACAATATAGTGTGTTGATTTTCAGGTTTAAATCTTAAAATTAATACTTGTTTTCAGTCTATTCAATCATTGCATGCAACGGATTAAGAATACTTAATTCTGTTTAGACCATCAGTCTTGAAAATTTGGAATGAAAAAAAGAAAGTTACTATATTTTCAATTTGCAATTATGTTTCCATTTAAATTTGAAAAATATTTGTGTCTTATCATGATCAATGGAGACTTTGTTTTCCTTCTGATTGCCATTATTGAAGCTGTTGAATTATGATACATCTTTTATCATGTAACCTAATGCCATTACAGGGCCTCAACTGTAATGATACACTCATTGTTTAATATCATAATACACAGATATATAATATGAATCATGAGCAGTACCTTTACAAAATGTATCATATTTGCTTTCTTTGATACTTGGATACTAATCACAAAACACTTTTATCTTTCCAGAAATCAATTACATAGTTTAAAATATCAATCCAAGCATTATCACTGAGTTCAATTTGATCATCCATAGGCAAAAATACATCTTTCTCAATTTCCTTTTTATATTCTAGTACATGTACAATAATGTAGTAAAACTTTGTGATTGGAATATGAATTTTGTGCTAAAATTACAATAAGTGTTTCACTTATCCTTGCACTATGAACACAGTACTAGGTGACTTAAGCTTAACAGTGAACTGAAATGCATAAAAACAAAGCATCTCCAGCAAGGCTAATGAATTTTGAACTAAAGATGGCCATCAAAAACTAAACATATGGATTTGTAAATTGCATCAATTTTAGAAAAAAAGAAATGAAAAAAGAAATAAACACACTTCAAATTTGACTACAAAAAAAATTATGCTGCTCATAACATGGATATTACAGGTAAATTATTTCTGATCACCATATATACAACGGATATATTAAATTCTTATACAACTACATACACATTTCCACTTCAAATTATAAACAGACATTTTCCTCACTTCCATTTCTACAATTACAAAAACTTTTTCTAGTCCTTGACCTTTCTTCCACCACCAGGCTCCCATATTTATGCCTTCACCCATTGCCTGTAGTACCACATACGTCTTCACCCATCTCCTTTAGTACCACATACGTCTACTCCCATCGCCTGTAGTACCACAAACCTCTTCACCCATCTCCTTTAGTACCACATACGTCTTCACCCATTGCCTGTAGTACCACATACGTCTTCACCCATCGCCTGTAGTACCACATACGTCTACTCCCATCGCCTGTAGTACCACAAACCTCTTCACCCATCTCCTTTAGTACCACATACGTCTTCACCCATTTCCTGTAGTACCACATACTTCTTCACCCATCGCCTGTAGTCCCACATACATCTTCACCCATTGCCTGTAGTACCCCATACGTCTTCACCCATCTCCTGTAGTACCACATACATCTTCACCCATCGCCTGTAGTACCACATTCGTCTACTCCCATCGCCTGTAGTACCACAAACCTCTTCACCCATCTCCTGTAGTACCACATACATCTTCACCCATTTCCTGTAGTACCCCATACGTCTTCACCCATCGCCTGTAGTCCCACATACATCTTCACCCATTGCCTGTAGTACCCCATACGTCTTCACCCATCGCCTGTAGTCCCAAATACGTCTACTCCCATCGCCTGTAGTACCACATACATCTTCACCCATCGCCTGTAGTACCACATACATCTTCCCCCATTGCCTCTAGTACCCCATACGTCTTCACCCATCTCCTATAGTACCACATACGTCTTCACCCATCTACTATAGTACCACATACGTCATCACCCATCTCCTGTAGTATCACATACGTCTTCACCCATCGCCTGTAGTCCCAAATACGTCTACTCCCATCGCCTGTAGTACCACAAACATCTTCACCCATCTCCTTTAGTACCACATACGTCTTCTCCCATTGCCTGTAGTACCACATACGTCTTCACCGATCGCCTGTAGTACCACATACGTCTACTCCCATCGCCTGTAGTACCACAAACGTCTTCACCCATCTCCTGTAGTACCACATACATCTTCACCCATTGCCTGTAGTACCCCATACGTCTTCACCCATCGCCTGTAGTCCCAAATACGTCTACTCCCATCGCCTGTAGTACCACATACATCTTCACCTATTTCCTGTAGTACCACATACGTCTTCACCCATCTCCTATAGTACCACATACGTCTTCACCCATCTCCTGTAGTACCACATATCTCTTCACCCATCGCCTGTAGTACCACATACGTCTTCACCCATCTCCTTTAGTACCACATACGTCTTCACCCATTGCCTGTAGTACCACATACGTCTTCACCCATCTCCTTTAGTACCACATACGCCTTCACCCATCTCCTTTAGTACCACATACGTCTTCACCCATCGCCTGTAGTACCACATATGTCTTCACCCATCGCCTGTAGTACCACATACGTCTTCACCCATCTCCTGTAGTACCACATACATCTTCACCCATCTCCTGTAGTACCACATACGTCTTCACCCATTGCCTGTAGTACCACATACGTCTTCACCCATCGCCTGTAGTACCACATACGTCTTCACCCATCGCCTGTAGTACCACATACATCTTCACCCATCACCTGTAGTACCACATACGTCTTCACCCATCGCCTGTAGTACCACATATGTCTTCACCCATCTCCTGTAGTACCACATACGTCTTCACCCATCTCCTGTATATGTAGTACCACTTGTCTTCCTATATACTCCAGCATTCTATACTCACATCACACACCTGTCAACAACAAAGAAAGCTTATTAAGTGATTATTATTAGAATTTATCTTGTTTTTTCCATTGAGTTCAAAGCAAAAGTAATAGAAAATAGACATGAAACAATGCTACATTACTGTTACATCCAGTGAAAACGTGCTTCTGGTATACACAAGCAAGGCTTTATTCATGAAAAAAATTATACTACTCTTTTTCCATTTAAGGGGAAAATACACCCCACTGCAGGTGGCCTCAAGCCACCTTGGTGAAACCCAGGAGAAGAATACAAGAGGGGAAGCCCCCTCTTTAAGGGGGGTACTGGGGCTCTCCCCGAAATAGTTTTGAAACTGTAGATGTCCTGAGGTGGAATTTCAGCCCAGAATCAAACCAAGTTCTCAACCTAATAATAACATAACGAAGCTCCTTGTTAAGTGTGTGAATGAAGAAAAATAAAATCATCAAACAAAATCATTTTTTTTAATTTTAGACTAAAGAAGGAATATTTTTTGTTTCAAGGGGAAATTAATCAAAGACAAGAGAACTGCGGGGCGGAACAATATACGCCTGTCAAATGCCATATAGTGTTATATACTTTCTTACATTGAAATAAGATCTGCATCATTATATACTTTCTTACATTGAAATAAGATCTGCATCGTTATATACTTTCTTACATTGAAATAAGATCTGCATCATTATATACTTTCTTACATTGAAATAAGATCTGCATCATTCTAAGAGTGGTTATATTAGCTGACATGCTATAAAAAAATGTAGGAGAAAATTTCCGGACAAAAAATCAATATTGAAATGAACAAAGGGCAATAACTTTTAAGGGAGACACAACTTCATATCATACAAAGTTTCTGAAGGGAATTTACCCAATACATTATGTACCAGTAATGAAAAAAACACCTGGATAAAGCCCTGCACAAGATCATTTGGATGGGACACTCAACACAGGTTTTGTTGTTTTAATCAACTCTGCTCCACCACCCCATCCACCAAACACACAAAAGTAATGTGTGTGTATGGGGAGGTGAGGGTGTGTAGGGATTGATGCTCCACCCCTTCCACCAAACAAACAAAAGTAATGTGTGTGTATGGGGAGGTGAGGGTGTGTAGGGAATGATGCTCCACCCCCTCCACCAAACACACAAAAGCAATGTGTGTGTATGGGGAGGTGAGGGTGTGTGGGGAATGATGCTCCATCCCCTCCACCAAACACACAAAAGTAATGTGTCTGTATGGGGAGGTGAGGGTGTGTAGGGATTGATGCTCCACCCCCTCCACCAAACAAACAAAAGTAATGTGTGTGTATGGGGAGGGGAGGGTGTGTAGGGAATGATGCTCCAGACCCTCCACCAAACACAGAAAAGTAATGTGTGTGTATGGGGAGGTGAGGGAGTGTAGGGAATGATGCTCCAGACCCTCCACCAAACACAGAAAAGTAATGTGTGTGTATGGGGAGGTGAGGGGGAGTAGGGATTGATGCTCCACCCCTTCCACCAAACAAACAAAAGTAATGTGTGTGTATGGGGAGGGGAGGGTGTGTAGGGAATGATGCTCCAGCCCCCTCCACAAAACAAACAAAAGTAATGTGTGTGTATGGGGAGGGGAGGGTGTATAGGGAATGATGCTCCATCCCCCTCCACCAAACACACAAAAGTAATGTGTCTGTATGGGGAGGTGAGGGTGTGTAGGGATTGATGCTCCAGCCCCTCCACCAAACACACAAAAGTAATGTGTCTGTATGGGGAGGTGAGGGTGTGTAGGGATTGATGCTCCTCCCCTTCCACCAAACAAACAAAAGTAATGTGTGAGTATGGGGAGGTGAGGGTGTGTAGGGAATGATGCTCCTCCCCCTCTACCAAACACACAAAAGTAATGTGTGTGTATGGGGAGGAGAGGGCGTGTAGGGATTGATGCTCCACCCCTTCCACCAAACAAACAAAAGGAATGTGTGTGTATGGGGAGGTGAGGGTGTGTGGGGATTGATGCTCCACCCCTTCCACCAAACAAACAAAAGTAATGTGTGTGTATGGGGAGGGGAGGGTGTGTAGGGAATGATGCTCCAGACCCTCCACCAAACACAGAAAAGTAATGTGTGTGTATGGGGAGGTGAGGGGGTGTAGGGAATGATGCTCCAGACCCTCCACCAAACACACAAAAGTAATGTGTGTTTATGGGGAGGTGAGGGTGTGTAGGGAATGATGCTCCTCCCCCTCCACAAAACAAACAAAAGTAATGTGTGTGTATGGGGAGGTGAGGGTGTGTAGGGAATAAAACCATGTGTGTAGGACTGTAGGTATACGAGTAGGCTTGGTTTGGTTTAACGTCCTAAGGTCATTTAAGGACAAATAGGCATCTATGTACAGGTATGCATATCTTTGTACTTGTAAGGGGAGACAACAAATTATAAATAATATGCTGTTTTGTTTCAAATATAATCTTTACAACTGTCAAATATATGTGTTTCATATAGCTACACATATACAACCACACAAAATGATATTCATTTTTACAAATCTAGTAAGAATCAGGTAGTTAGAAAACCTTTTAGTGAATATTTTCAGAATAATATATATATATTGAGTGCATTTCCAGATTTTGTACTTGATAAATCATATATACTGAAGGAGCTATATAGGTCAGAAAAGTCTTTAACAAAGGGAAAACATAATTGTTTTAAAGACCTGGGAATTCACGAAACCATTAATTCTCATGCTCAAGCATGAATTCTGTGCTCAAAAATAAGCTTTGTTGTAACTCACATAAATCTTTTAATACAGTCAAATTGTCATGTTTAAACAATACCTAATTTAGGCCAGATGTGATATCATATGACGTAATTATGAATAGAAATAAGAAGATATCATGGAACCAGGATAAATATGACATAAACATCAGGTTTCCACCGATCAGAACATACCACAGGTAATGCTGACAACCATTGTTTGTAACATGTTATTGATAGGAATGGAGGAAAACACTCATCCCTTACAACCTGAAGGTTATAGTCAGAGAAATCTCAGACCTCTCAACAATGAAGAAATATATCACCTCTCAGGTTGAGATTTCTGTCAATAATAGAATCTGTCACCCCCTTGGGGTGAGATAGGGGGATCTCAAACCTTGGGGGAAGATTCTGAAGTTGCCAAACATGAGGCTTTGCCGATAGTTTGGCAACTTAAGAATCTTCCCCCGAGGGTTGAAGACTCCCCTGTCTTTTACCCTGTTCTCCTATTGTGTATCATATATACCTACTGTAATATTACAGCTGGCTAAATTCAGGGTTGATGTGACGTCGTTGATGGATTGTTGATGACGTTATTGTATCGTTGAAGCGACGTCATACCATTGTTATAAATAAGGGAATCCCCCCATCTCAACCCTAGAGTGATACTAATAGAACCTTCTCCTACCTTGAGGGTATGACAGAGAAATCTCCAACCCGAGGGGTGACGTTTTGGGTTGTCTAACCCAAGGCTCTGCTGTCACAATTACAGGTGATGTATTTTAATGACGTCACAATTGAACACTTGCTAATCGACACGAGACTATCTCCTCCTAGGAGGTGACAAGCTGATCTTTCTCGGCTAAAATGGGAGACTCACCTGTGAAGGTAGGGAGGAAAGGTTTTCTCTTACCCTGGACCGGTGTATCAGCACTTTTACTGGTGTGAGATTTCCTTGTCTAACCCTAGGGTTGAGACGGGGGGATTCCCCTATTCATTACAATGGCATGACGTCACGTCAACAATCCATCAACGTCACGTCAACCCTGAATTTAGCATGTAACGTTATCATTACATTGTGTATATGATACACAATGGGAGAACAGAGTAAGAGAAAACAAATAATTCACCCCCTTGTGGGCGAGATAGGGGAATCTCACCCCCAAGGGGGTGAAAGATTCTGTTAATTTCACACTGGTAAAAGTGCGGATACACATGTCCAGGGTAGGGGAAATACTTGTCCTTAATTTCACATGATGGATTGAAACATTTAACCCCAAACACTTTACCCAAGATTAGGGGTGCAACAATATTGTTTCATATTGTAATTGTGATTCTTTCTGGTGCATCGTTTCAAATTATTTTGTTTGCCTGTATCACATTCACAATTTTTTTTATCAACTTTAAGGCTTTACAGGGTTTTTTTGGGGAGGGAGGGAATCCTTTAGTAAAGATGTGATCCACTATGCAAGAGTACAAAAATATTTACTATTTTAGTCTATATTACCACAAAATTCTGTAAAATACTGCACTAACCCGAACCCTAATCCATAACGAAGTTGACCCTTTGAGCAGATATGTATCGTCATAAATATGCATTTTGTACATTTGACAGACGAGGCTAGTACTTGTGTCGTAAGCATCATACCATGACATGCCTTGTATTGCGAGATAAGTGTATCGTTGTAGCCCTTCCCTTGATCATTGAACAACTTACAAAAACAACTGTTAGATCAAATAGAGGAGTAGGGGTGATCCTTTCGCAGCTGAAGCCATGCTGAAATCGTTGAGGTAATTGCAAGTCGACGCTCCTCCTCTTCAGTCTCTTCACAAGAGTCTGTGTCGGACTGAGAAAAGTCCATGTCCAAACTTTCCACAGATCCCTGAGGTTGGGTTGGAGCAGAACTAAACGTACCAGTAAAGCCACTATAATTGTGATCAATACGATTGTTTTTCAGAGTTAGTTTAGGGGCCCGAATATGACCAACAGATTCCGGTACAGTCTTGATTTTATCACATGGACCTTTATTATAGTTGTGATCCGTTTTTAATGCAACTGGTTTCTCCGGAACTGGATTCTGACATTCTGAATCATCACAGATACTCATCTTTTCATCATCATTGGTTTTCCCTTGTGCATAGGTGTGATCATACATATATTTATAATTCAGAGGCAGGGTATGCGAAAGATTCCCATCTCTATCCCGGAAAGGAGAAAACAGATTTCCTTTTGGCCAAGAATGACTTCCCAGGTACGAGTCATCCATGGCCATGGGTTCTCCCTTAACACCTCGTATCTCCACAGCATCTGATATAGGAACGTTACTGCGACGTTTTCTGGGGTCCATGATACATGGGTAAGTATGGTCATTTGGTGTATGGAATGGTGACCTATTTTTGCCAAAAGCAAAACACTTGTGTGACGTATTAAGGCTAGTGTCGTCCACGGCTGTCCGACGTGGGGCTCCTGAGGATTCAGAGAGGTTTGATAAGGTAATATTGGACAGATTTTCCTCGGAAGAACTTCTGGTTGGTTCCATCTTTTGAGGTTTTGGTTTCTGTAAATGACTGTGACGTAGTGCTACGGATTTACTGATAAACGAATAATTGTGATCTTTCTCTTTCTGAAGTAACAGTTCATTGTCTGTATTTGAAACCTTTTTAGTTCTCGTGTGCTTTTTGGCGACTGCATACGTGTGGTCTTTCTCCGAAGGTTTTGGAGCTTCCAAGGCCAAGGCCATGTCCACCAGGGTTAGCAGGGACAAAGAGTCTTTCCCAGCCACCGGACCACAGGTTCCGAGTCCTGCATATGTTCCCGAACTTAATGTCTCCATTATTGGATTAAGAACGATACGAGATGTGCAAACCATCCATGGAAATACCTTATCCGAGATCTACTTCCCCTTTGACGTCCACTGACCACGCAATAGACTATTTCCACCTGCCAGGTAGTAATGTTACTAGAGAGTCACGGATCAAGGGAGATAACTCCGGAACTCACAGACGCACTCGAGCATCATTTTGAATGGTTCTGATTAAATCATAATTTGAAACTAAAATTCTCTTCATTTTCCTTGGGGTTAACCTAACTTTGCATTTAGTTTAGTAATACCATTATATATAGGTTATCACATAAGTTGGTTTTTTTTTGCCTGATTTAATAACAGGCTGCTTCAGTAAGCAAAAAAGGTAGGCTAATCAGTGAAGAAAAAAATATGGAATATCTTCTCATTTACAATAAGAATAAAGCTATTTCCCCCAAAAAACTCATTTGAATATAATGTTGTAAAATTTAGGAAGAAATTTAGTGTCGAATATGGTGTAACAAGAACATCAGCTCTTCCGAGCTTGTATTTCGACAAACAAATGAAAAGCGTAGCAATGGATAACAGTAGCTAGATAGGCCAGAGACGTACATATAACACAACTCAAGTTATACGTCTCTGGATAGGCTAAGTAATTAACAATCTATTTGATGAAAGAATCACTTCCAATCTATTAACCCTTGATATAAATGGAAGAACACGAGGCCACCATCACAAAATGTACAAAAACCGATGCAACACGGAGTTAAGGAGATGGGAAGTGGTCCAATCACATAAATGAAATGTATAAATTAGCAAAAAAATAACGTTCTAAGAAAACTTAAATATATGTTTAAGTATTAAGAATTAACAGAACGTTTATCTTACCAGTTCTTGAATATATGCATGTGAAGTTTGGGATGGTTGTCCCGTGGTTGATGCTGAACAGTTAGAAAGGGCTGAACGTGAAGCAGCTTGGATAATTACATAATCACTTTTATATTTTAGAATTAACTGAATCATTATACTCAGAAACAGGACTAGAATTACTTTCTGATAGAAGAGCAAGAAGAAAAATTCATTTATTACACAAAATGAACAGGCAGCTTACTCCAAATTATCTCTCAAACTTATTACCCCCCCCCCCCCCCCCCCC